ACATTGATGTATTATTTCATTATAAAATTTGGGGGAAACTGTGGCAGCTACAAGTCAGAGTGTTTTTATTTGTTTAACTGTTGAAGGTTTAAGTGTTGATTGTTTAACTGTTGATGATTTACCTGTTGAAGGTTCAACTGTTGCATGGCTGTGGCATCTACCAAAGAATATAAAAATAAGTTATCAAAAAGTTACTACAGGACAAAAATATGAAGATTTTTCTAGTAGGTATACACGAGAGCTAGCTCCCCTTAATCACAAACCACTCAACTACAAGTAGTTGGTCCCCAACTGATAGGTACTAACTTTTTTCCAGTTGTTCCATGACAAATGAAAGAATTCGAGAAATCAAATACTCTAAACTCCTCAAACAATCAAATCTCAAAAATAAAATTGCAAAATCCTCCTTAACAATTTTTTGGTTAGTTAACTCTGATAAAGGGAAATTTCTTACCCCAATAAAGTCGAGGCTAAAAGAGAAAGAGAAACAAAGAACAGGTTAATGCTAACAAACCTCTTAAAATGATGTAATTCAATATAATTTTCACCCACGCTAAAACATGCAAAACTTTAAAAAAACAGATTATGTTCAGATAAAAGACCTTTTTGCTGCAATTGACAGAAACAAAGAAGTGAACCATCATTAATTAAACAAACACTTTCTGAAGAAATACACGTGACTCTGTGAACAAAGAGATACAATAACAATTCCATTAAGACATAGGAAGACAAGTACATAGCCAAAATAAAATAGGCAACTGTGATTCGTGATTCACGTTAATTCCGTCATCAACTTATAACAAAAATATATAAAAAGTAGACACTCCAAAAGCAGACTAACTGACAGATTGTACTACATAAAACTCTTTGAATTTAAAAATAAACAAAAAAAAAATTGAAAAATTAGGATTACAAAAAGAAAAAAACATCTTAATCCTGCAACAATAACTGAAACATTTATTTCTACTTGGTAATACACACTCTACTCTTACCAAAGCAAACATTACCACATTCATCCCACAGTAAACGGAGCTACTGACAGACTCAAGAGTCAACAGTGCCCATGCTCAGTTTAGGGTATCTTTATTTGGGGTTCAACTCTTCAATTTCTATTAGTAACTATCATTTAGTTTCTCAAAAAGAAAGGAAATGATCACTGGTTAAAAAAAATTTTGATTGTTAAAACATATTCTCCCTGTCAGTGTTAAAGGAAATATATGGAGAACAGTGTGGAAAATATCCATACTGATGATGTTGCGTTAAGGTTTATACATGTACCTGCTCTGTAACTTGCGTAATTAACAACAACTCCACTCTCGTCGGATTTGGTTTGTGTGGTACCCTCTGATGCAAATTTGACCTGCACATTCTTCATTTGTTTTAATGTGAAATAGGACTTAAAAGAAAGAGATGAATGAGAGCAGATCCTTTTCTCAATGTATATCTCTTGGCTTGTTATGTTTGTACCTACAAGATGAAAGACAGGACACAATTGATGAAAGTGTACCAAACCCTTTCTTGGTTTCCTTTGCATTTTGAAGTAAGAAAATGTTCACGAAGAGTGAGAGATCTTGGCTTTACTTCAAGTTTATCGTTGAGGCTGCATACTGTAGCTAGAGGAACCTGGTTTCACGATGTCCAAATGTTCCTCCTCAAGTAATAGGGTGGCCAGCTCTTGAAAGCTTTTATAAGCAGAAAGGTTTAAACGTCATCAGGAGACAAAAAGTAAGTTGCCAATGGAACACAACTATGGCCAAATTAATGTCAGAGAAACTTTCATTTTAAAAGCCATGACTAAATTTTCTTGACTGGTATTTTCCTTTCAATCATGACTTGTAAATTGAAAATCTGTTAGGTTTAATGCCTCACAAGGTTTTGTTCTGCTCCAAAGCAAGATAATGGCACCTTGAAAGATTAGTAAGGCTTGAAAAAAATCTGGTACATTTTTATGAACCTTGACTTCATCTCCGTCCATAAAAACATAAAAAGAGAACTCAGCCAATATCCAGCCATCTTGACCTCACGTTTGGTCATGAACCCATCTGATCAGACCAAAAATAAAAACATAAAAAGAGAACTCAGCCAATTTCCAGCCATCTTGACCTCATGTTTGGTCACGAACCCATCTGTTCAGACCAAAACTACAAGGTTGGTAAATAAATAAATTAATCATATCTCTAGGTTCAAATAGATGATGAAGATTTCAATTCAAACAGACTTTTGACGTCAACTGCCTGTGCAGTGAAACATGCATGTTCCACTAAACAGACCAATTATAGCACACCTACCAGTGATGCGTAACTCATCCTCGTCGTTTTCCCTGTTTTTATTGCAAAAAGGATTTCCTCCCAATTTAAAGCTTGTATAAAACAAGCGAATTTCCCTCCCTGATGAAATTGAAAAATTCCATGTACACTCAGCGTTTTGATGGTACGTCAAAGGCCAGTTGGGAGTAAATAATGTTCCACCTGCTTTTTTCAAAAACTTTTTGCTACAAATCAAAAACAGGTAAAAAAGCATTTTTAATTAAGTAAAAGGAGCTCTATATAAGTGGCAATGTTTAACAAGGATTTCCAGCCCTGAAAAAAGCCATAACCCCACTGATTTGCACTTAGTGTTTTATAGTTTTGGCGCCAGAGCGTTGTCCCAGGGAGTCTGGGGACCAACCCCTCTTTTTATTTAAAGTCGCGAAGAACTCAATATCCCAGATAACGGTCAGCCAGAAATCACCAAAAGATCTATAAGAAGTATGGAATGCCCTACGAATTGTAAGTTAAAATTTCGTTAAACTCTCAAATGCTATTCAATATTTAAAAAAATCTGTATTTGTTTTTTAGTTTCACTTGCTTCCTCTGGCAACCAGTACAAAAATAAACGGCAACCATACATCAGAAACCTTCAAAGCTACAGTAACGCTTCAAAACGAAAGCGCGAATCACCCACATGTGTAAAATTACAAAAAATTTTGATTGTGTTTGATACTGTCAATCAGCTGCTGACATGTCAACTGCCTTTCGGGCCACTCTGTCAGATTGATGATTGAATGAAAAAGCCTTCAATCATTAATAAGGTCAACTTTTCTTATCAGTAAAGGCGTGTCGTGTTTATATAAGCCCCACCTAATGCACCAGGACCTACTTTGATTGTTTCACTGAGTGAAAAATCTATCAACAAGTGACATAAAATAAGCAGAACCCCCAGTTTGAAAACTTGCCAAATTGTTTGCAAATTTTCAAAGGACCCAATGTCCTTCCTTGGAGGCCTCAAAATTTTGGCTAAACAAACAATCAGCCATCGTGCTGTACAAGAAATGTCTGGATGATTCAGTGGGATTAAATACTTATAAAGACCATTAGTCTAGTTTGGCCGGCATGCTACGGCAAGATTTTCTTCATCCATGTAATCTTTTTTCTTTCAAGGGTTGGATTTGAATGTCTGTGACGCATCCCCTGGGTCCGGTAAGAAATTAATGTGTGGTTGCTTACAGATATGGAGTTTCTCTTGCTGTGTTAAACATGATTTCTCACTCATTTGCCATGTTCACTTATGAGTTATCATGTTGAATACTCCATTTTATGAACCCCCAAGGGATGCATTATTCTCCATGACAAGACTGATAACAATAATTATAATCTCAGATGATAATGATTACCATTATCCATATCATCATTACCATTTTAATACTAAATCTTGAGAATGGGAAAAGAAATCTATCTTGATGAAGTAAATGACCCAGTTGAAAACAAGCTCTTAAATTGTCAGAAAATGACAATCACACATATAGATCAAAAGAAATAAATTTAAATGTGAAAGACTTACAGACCTGCAGTTTGAGGTGGGATCCAGTTTTGTGGTATTATCCATTGAAGCATAACGTACTTCAAACCCTGTATTCCGGTCTGACCCATCAGTTTTAAAAATAAGGGTGATGNATTGTCAGGTTATAAAGTTTGTCAATGCAAAGTTAAGTTGTATCTCCCTGTTCTTGTGGTTTGATTGATTCTTTCATTATCCTTGTAGAAATGATGCCGCAGCTCATCACATTAGTTTGATAGGTGAATAAGTATTTTGTTTGTTTCGTGCCCGAGTGACGAAGGCGGATCACGAAAGGTACATAGAGCGTTGCAAAGAAACCTTTATATTTATAGTCTTAATGGACTACATAAAGGTGGGTGATATGTTAATAATGTTTCCAAAGGGATCCTTTCCGTAGTGCTGACGCGACATATAATCTTGTAGGTAGCCATCGAAAAGTTCTTTGGATGTTCCTGTTCGTATCACCGTTTCTGTTGACGTAGTTTCTTCGTATAGTGAGGACTCATGCACTGCTTGAGCATTTGAAAATTTGTGTGCCCAGGTGTAAGTTAGGGCTAATACTTCTTCGATGGAGAGTCTGCTACTGGAAAACCATGAATTCCAGTGCATTGAAGCCAGTCCATTGCAACCTTTTCTTGAACATCCCCACTCGTACCTGCCTTGCAATGAAGTTTGTCGTGTCCAGCTAAGTGCATTGCCGCACCCAGCCCGAGGATATTTTACTGATGTCGCAAGTAGGTTGGGTTCCTTACACCACTGTATGCACCGGTCGTGATCCGAAAAGATATGATATAGTTTAAATAAATTTAAGCTTTCCATTTTGTTGTACACCTTTGGCTCAGGTAGATGTGAATAGAAAGATAGATGAATAAAATGTCCTTTTTGTGTGGTATGTGGCCAATCGTATCGAAGAATAAATGCATTCTTTAGTTCAAAGGGGACCTCTTGTGCATTATGTAGCACAGTGGTTAAGACAATGGACTTGTAATAAAGCATTGAGTAAAGAGTAATGGTTCAAGCCTTAGCAGGGCAGCTAAGAACGTAAAAAGAGAAAAAAAAAGGAGGCACTAGTGATGAAAATAGTAGGAAAAAAAAGAGAGGGAGGGGAGTAGAATGTGGGAAAGAAACAGAGAAGGAAAAGCCATTCTCAATCGATTTCTCTTTTATTGAAGCAGTAAGTATCTATTAGTAACGTATATATGCTAAGCCCCTGGGAATGAGTCATTGTCTTGGAAAACAATGAAGTGCATACATAATTAATGAAATGGAAGGCACAATTAATGTATAGGATTATATGGAAATTTTTCCCGCGAGTGTAATCGATTAATTACTGGCCAAAGTTTAATTTCAAGATCAAGGAAAAGTTTAAGTTAGTTTGCATCAAAAGAGAATAAGACTTGTGAGGTACTTGCGTGCTTGTAAGTTGGGATTTACAAAATGTAAGTCTTAAATATTTTTAGTCGGGCAACCGACTATAGGTGGTTTGCACGTTACGTCATCGCCGCCATGTTGGTGGACGTAAATAATAGATATCTCATTAGCTTCTTTTGTTCGTCCACCAGCATTTGTTCCTTTCATCATTCTTACCTGTGGCTCTAGAGATTGGTGGGAAACCACCTATAGATTTACTATCGGGTTTCTCCACAAATCTCCGTCACGTGCCATGGGGAATACCGCAGACACTCAATAATTA